AGCTCTTATACCTACAAACATAGGTTTAATTATACTAAACTTATGATTTTCTACTAGATTAATTTTACTCTTAATTATACTTTTAAACAAGTCAACAACATAAGAAATCTAATCTATGCAAGGATTATACTTTTTTAACCATGATAAACCTAAAATGATTGGATTAGAGTGAGATCTAATTATATTAAAGATTATGTAACTACTTTGACTATTTATTGCTACATCTATAGAAAATATTTCATGAATAACATCTCTAAAAGACAACAGATGACCATCTATGACTTCTACATGAACAGATTTGGTTTTTTGTATTAACAATATTTTATGACTTTTAATAAATTCTACGTCTAAGAAATAAGCTGAGGCTCCTAAATCTATCAAGGTAGAGGCTTTTTAATTATTAGATCTTAAGCGCTTATCTATTATAAAATAACAAGAGGGTTCTGAAAAGAAGATAGGAATTTCATTAGAAATTATATAAGATTCCAGCCACACAGTCTCTATTGTAACTGGATAAATTTGTTTTCCATATATTGTCTTTTTTGACAGATTTGCTCTTCATTTTGTGATTTTGTCACTTCTTTGGACAATATTGAGTAGTATGTTTAGATTCTCCACAATATAAGCACAATCCTTCTTGACAGTGATGAGTCTTTTCTTGCTCAATAAAAAGTTTAAAACGTACAGTATCAATTTGTATATCTTCTACTTTTGAATGTATATATTGAGGAGATGTTGGTATTGCCATCAAATTATAGTAATATTGAGGTCTATTTGTATGACTCTTAGATTAAAATTTAAAAAATCGATTGTCATATTTCACAACAAAATCAATTGATTGACTCAATATTTGAGGATCAAGTAAGTTGAGCATCAATTTTTTTAATTCATATTATAATCCATAGAAAAATTGGCTAATAAATGCAACATCATCCTATTTGATATCAATTATAAGTTGTCAAAATTGAGAAGCCTATAACGTTATAGATCAATTGCCTTGTTACAAAATATGGATGTTATTGGTTGCAACACGAGTTGCATCATGTTCTCTATACATGGACTAAAATTTTGCTAAAAATATCTTAAGATTATCCAATATTGGATCTTATCATATAAAAAAAGATAAAAACCATAATAGTGCTGAATCTGAAAGAAGTGTATCAATGAATCTAACTTATGATTCTAGAATTGGATGGCTTTGAGGTTGAAGTTCAATCATAAGTTGTATTTGATTGATAAATCTTCGAAATTTGGATCTTGTACGATGAAACTTCTCGGGAAAAGCAACTCTTGGTTCTCTAATACTTGGAAGTTGTTCCACCATGGATAGAGGGACATAATTTGGTATAGATATTGAAGCAATTCTAATCATCTCTATATTCTCACTTCTTACCATTCTTGTTGATCTTTGTCGTGGTAAGCTAGGTTGATGCATTGCAAGCATCAACTCCCTCAATTGCTCTTGTATTTGTGCCATTGCACTCTTTATTTCAACAAGATTTGTAGTAATAATACTCAAAAAAATATCTAATATCACTCAAGACAAATAGAAGAAAGGACTTGAAGACAAAAAAAATACTAAGAAAAATATCAATTTAAAAGAGGGTAATCCACAACTTTTAATATGCTTATGTCTTATCATGAGAAACGAATAATCTACTCTTAATCAAGATAAGACAAAGCTCTGATATTGTAAGTGTACTCTTGTCAATTTGTCAAGGACATGAACTAAAAGATGATGCATAAACCTAATAAAATCCATGTCAAAGAAAGAGTAAAAAAATAGAAATAAGGAAGTACATATATTAAAAAGAAACTGATATGGCCTATTATCAAAAGATAAAAGAATTTGAGACTCTTGAAACTAGACTAGAAGCAAGAAAGAAGTTGACAAGAGTGAAGAGGGCTTCATTCTTATCTCTATATATACTATCTAATTAGGGGCTATGTAGCGATGTTATATAGGACCTCCAATATGTGTTGACTTTGTAAGACACATGCCTTGACATAAAAGGCAAGATTTTCTATGTGTGGGCCATATAGTTAGCTTAGTCTTCAAACTAACAACATGTGTGGCACATGGCCAAGTTGTTGACTACTTTTTTAATCCAAAAAGTCAATTATAGACACTTATAAAATCAAAGCAACATCTATAAAGCTTTTAGGAAGCTTTTATAGAAGATATTATAGAATTAACTTATTTTTATCTACTTCTACTTATTTTTATCTATTTATATAGGTAATTACTGGCTTACATGTATATGTTTGTAATACTTTTATACTTCATGTACATATAAAAACTCTAAGTTGTGATTTTTTTGTTAAATTTCTTTTAAATATCAAAACCTCAACATGTTTTATAGATAATGATTTGGCAATGAAACATGATTTAGTATGGGTGAAGAAGTTTTATTCTACACAACTTGAAGTCATTGATAGACAAGCACTTGCATCAAAGAATATTGTAAGTAATATTAAGAGACCAAGTATTGCATATTGTTTTCAAAATTATTCAATGTTGTGCGATTCTTGTTGTCATTGGACTTCTTTGATTTAAGTTATATTATCTTGATATTGATTGGAATTTACATAAAATTTCTTTAAATCCAAAATATTATAGAAAGAAATATGTTTCATATTTATTTCTTAGATCTATTAACTTTATATTAAAAAAATAATAATCTTGTATTTGTGATGTATGCTATTTTAATAAAAAAAATCAATTGAATATTTTTTATAAGATATTTCAATAAATAGAAAGACTTTAAGTATTTTTAAGAAAAAAAAATATTAATATACTACTAGAATATTACTTATATTATTGTAAAATAGGATTGTAAAAAAGAACTCATTAGAAATTTAAAGCAATATATAATATTTCAAAAATAAAGTTAATAGTCTTATTAGAATACATTAATAAAATTCTTTCCAAGTTTTTCATTCAAAATTCAAAAGCACTTATTGGAGAACTTATACTTTTTGTAAAGAAAAAAGATAGATTTTAAAAAATATTATTTTATTATTAAAATTTGAATAAGATAATAATGAAAAAATATTGTGTATTACCATTAATATTACAACTTCTTAAACAGTTGGATCAAAGAAAGATCTATAGAAAGATTGATCTTTGTAGAGATTATAATTTAGTATACATAAAATAAGAGATAAATGAAAGACAATATTTTAGAATATAGGCATTTTGAGTACATTGTTATACCTTTTGTACTAACAAATGTATTAGCTATATTTTAACATTTAATAAATGATATCTTTTAAGAGTTCTTAGATAATTTTTTGTTTATTAACTTAATGATATTTTGATGTATTCAAAAAGTCTTGGAGAAGATATAAGTTTGGTACTACAATAATTCAAAAGATAAGAATTTATGTCAAATTGAAGAAATATGTATTCTAACAGTAAAAGGTAGAATTTCTTAGATATATTATATAAAATTCAAATTTATTAATGGATCTAAAGAAGGTTCAAGTTGATAAAGTTTGAGCAATTTCTAAGACAATGCAAGTTATATAATTTTATTTTCGATTTATTAAGTTATATTAGATATTTATTAAAAAATAAAAAATCAAATCAAATAGTTGTTCTATTTATTCAATTGATATGCCAGAATAAATAATATTGGTTGCCTTAAGCAAAAAAGGCTTTCTAAAATCTTAAATGGCTTTTATTACAACTCCAATTTTAGTACATTTAAATTTTATTAAAATTTCTTTTATGAAAATCAATGCCTTGGATTTTGTACTAAAAGATTTGCTATGACATAAAAAATAAGGACAAAAAAAATTCATCTAGTTGTATTTCAATTTATGGAGTTTTCAATTATTAAGATCAATTATGAAATCTATCATAAAATACTACTTGCTATTGTGGATTCATTCAAATAATGGCACCATTTGCTTAAAGGTTCTTTATATCTTATGATTATATATACATGTTATATGAATCTTAAGTATTTCATATTGGCTTGTATTTTAAATCATTTCTAAGCTTTGTAGAATATATTTTATTTTGATTTCAATAATATGTATTGATTTAAAAAACTACAAGAACTATTAGATTCTTTATTCAAGCAATCATATCTTTTGCCAAAAGAAAAAGAAATAATTTATGACTAACAAAAAATATCTTTCTTAAAACTCAAGAAATTATATCTTTAAACAATATCTATGTCAATTCTAGCAAATTCTTTACCATCTCTCTATAAAAAAAAAAAATACAACACTTCTATAATTTTTTTTTTTTTTTTTTTTTTTGTTTATAGAAATAAGAGAAGCAATTACAAAAGTTTCAAATTTTAATATAAATAGCATCCCAAATCCATTCCATTTCACGTTGAATTTAATAATATGTCTTTGTTTTAATTTAGTAGTTGAAATATGCATAGTTAAAAGGGTGATATCTTGAAATTTATTCCATTTCAACTAAGTAATTTTGTAAGTCAATGAATCAACTCACTCATATGTTTAGTAAAAAAAAAAAAAAAAAAAAAAAAAAAACACTCATAGTACTTAAAGTCATTAGTCTAGTGAATTAATGTAATTTTTTTTGAGATAAATAGCAAATAATAGAATGTCAATTGCAAAGATGGTCTCTTCTAGTTTCTTTTAGAAGAAATTCTAAAATATATATTTTTTAAATTAGCTAATATAAAATTATGATATTTTAATAGTAGTTTATTATTGTAAAATATTATTTAGACTAGAACGTAAGAAGGATCTTTGATCCAAGTCAATCCAAAAGAATATATATATATATAAATATATATATACGTATATATATTATTATTTTTACAAATAAAATAGACTAAAATCATTGAAGAAAAAAAAGAGAAAGTAGAGAGAAGGAGAAATAAGGAAGAAAAGAAGAGAAAAAGAAAAGGAGATAGTGAGAAGGGCGAGAGGCAGCCCAGGAATGGCGGCAACCTCGTCGTCGATAGGGGTCTTGGCCGCCCCGGATCCCTCATCCCTTCTCCCTTGTTTTTTTTTAGATTCTGTTTGTGAAGGATCTGGAACGGCATTGCTAGGAAGCTCTCCCGCTATTTTCTGTGTGTGTAGGCTGCAATTCCCTTCTCTTCGTACCGTGGAGGTATTGCGGCAGAAGTCATCTTTGTTCCCTATGATCAATGCACGACATTGGGGTTCGGTGTGTTTGGCAACCGAGCGTTGGCATGGAGGTGCGGCGGCGCTACAGTGAAGGATCAGAGTGATTGTTTTGGTTGTTTATTCTCTCCTTCGGTGAAGGGGGGGACGGGCAGTGTTGTTGAGTCTGAGGTCTTATTCTGTCAGTGCAGCGGTGGAGCTAGACATGGTGTGGTTGCTGATCCGGTGGCTTTGAAAATTAGTACTAAGGTGGTGAACTTGACGACTGGCCAACAGCGTGGGTGGAGCAAGGTTGTGCGACGTCTTTGGCATTTTGTTAGATGTTCGAAGTGCGGAAGGCATCGTTGTCTACTTTGCTGGAAGCAGAGTGGTGTTGTGAGGCGATTTTGGCTTTCTAGGTGGTAGAGATCTTCTGCTGTTGCACCTTTGGCGCTGCTATTTTTTTTGAAGAAAATTGAATTTTCGTGGGCACTGCCGATGCCAAAATTTCCTCTAATGCTAACAATCTTTTGGGCAAGTCGATTTGGGAAAGAGAATGCTACTTTTGGGAGAAAACTAGCTTGGACATATAGGGAAATCAGTGCAATTAAGAGTGGACCAGGAGTACGTAGATCTGGTCGCATTCTTCATGCTGTTAATACGACTTTTATTGAATCATACACAAAAGTGTGCAAGTAACAATCCGCTGCAACCGAGGACTTAGATTGTTTTTGAAGAACTGAGAGGAGATTCAAGAAGTCTGAATAGTATCTGTATGATTGTCTACAGAAAGCGTGCTTGTTGCTACAATGCGTTTTCATGAGGTCCAATTCTTGCCACTATTCTGTGGAAGAGATCGGAATCAAGAGCAGAGTAGAGCATGCGAGTTGTATTCCTGGGGGTCATTGGTGGTATTGGAGGTGTCGCGACAGTGGTGATCTATTCTTGCAGAGAGAAAGTATTCGTCGTGGTCAAGTTGGCAGATACTGCTACAGAGAGGAGGATTGAATCTCTTTATTTTCGCTGCACACTTACCGATCTTTGAGACTCTTGCCGTCTCATTTGGTGCCTGATGCTTAATCTCAAACTTATGGAAGTTGGAGATGGATGTTTTTTGGTCGGTGTAATGTTTTATTAAAGACTTGTGATCTACATTGTTGGGGTGCTGTGATGTTTGGCCGATCCTCCCTGACAGCATCGTTTCCTGTTCTGGAGCTCGTCTAGCACCTGGCGATCGAGGCAGAGGTGGCTGAGCGTCGCAGACCATGGTGGAGTCAACTCACAGCACGTTGACTAGGGAGCCGACCCCTTCCAACCCGGTGAGGTTCCCGGATGGATGAAGCTAGATTAAGTAAATTGAAGTAGATTTTAAAAATTAGGTTAGAAGAATTTTAGGTGAAACGGATGACTTTTTATATGGATGAAAAAATTAATAGATTGGGTGAATATTTTTAACATGAATGACTCTTGAGTAGGATAAACTTAAGTTGGATAATAAGTTATTCATGGATGATAAGTTATTTGTAGATGAAAACTTGTACTTAGATGATTTTTTGTTCATGGATGAAAATTAATATAAAAAATATAAAATCAAATAAAAATAATAATAATTAAATTAAGAGTTAAGAAAATAAATTTTTGGACATGTATTTTATAAGTGTGAGTTAAAGATAGAAGTTGCACTTGATTACTTGAGTGTTTGAGAAGATTAAAAAGTGATTTAATTAGGATTTAAATAAGAGTTATGACTTATAAAAATTACATAATTAAGTCACTTCTTGTGAACTAGGATAAATGTCCAAGTAATAAAATTTTATTTATTTCACACTTGGAAAATTTAAAGAAGTTAAGAGTGAATTGATTACAATTAAAATAAAAACTATGATTTCTAAGATTTCCATAATTAATTCACTTGTTGTGAATTAGAATAAACTTTCAACAAGTAGAGGTTTATTTGAGCTCACTAGTTTATATTAATGACCTTCAAAAAAAAATATTTGGATTACAACAATATTGATGAATATCTAAAAGAAGATTGGTGGTAATTTTCATTGAAGTAGAATTTATTCATAAAGATTGTCCAAAATTAATATTCAAGGAGTATTTTTACAAAAAAGATGCAAAAGTATAAGCTTGGTCTTGAACAAAGGATATTGGTCTAAATTATTGGTTATAAGGATTACTGATACTTTTGATCCATAAAAGACAACTAGAATATCTTACATTAAACACTCAAGTAATCAAGCGTTGTCATGTTGTGGTTTGGCTACTAAATGAAAATAATATAATTATGTACTTAATATATAATTTATTAAGTAACATGGTGAGAGCCATGTTAGTAGATTTTAGTTGGTTGTAGAATATAATTTGATTATTACTTTGAGAAGAAGTTGATTAAAAAGATTACTATAGAATTTGTATAACTTTAATTTCCTTTTGATAGTGGCTTTTAAGATTGGTTTTGGTTGATAGTAACTTCTAAATATTTAGAATCACCTTTGTTAGACATTGGTGACCTTTGAAAACTTATTTTAGTTCTTTTATTTGGTGTTTAGAGCATAAATTATGTAAATCTTATAAGAAAAAGGATTGAAGAAGGATTTTGGTAGCAAAGGGAGTAATTAGGGCACCAATATAGATGAATGGAGATGGATGATGAAAATCTCCATTCTTATTGGTCAAAAATCATGACCAATGGGCTTTGAGGAGGCTGCCTGAGGCCATATAAGAGATTAGGGTTAGTTTCTCGAGAGGATTCGAGTTTTGAAGGCTAGGATCAATAAGTTTAGGTTTTTGGCTATGGTTTTGGTATAATTTTTATATGATTTGGAGTTTATATGAAGGAGATATAGGTGCTCAAAGTTAAGGTGTTGATTTGGGAGCTACTGTCACTCTTTTGGCATAATGCACGCATACAGAGGGCAATTGAGGATTGGCGAGTGCGACTAGAGAGAGCACTTTTGCGGCTACACTTTTTGCATACTACTTGTTGGATTCCAAGTTGAAGTGAAGGAGTTATTGGATTTTGAAGTCAACACATGCAATCTAAGGGTTTAGAGCATTTAGTAGGGTTTCTTAGATGCCAGAAGATCAGGAATAAATTTATAGTTGGTTTCTTTTGTGGTAAAAGTTAAGGATGATTTCTACCTATTTTATAAATTTGAGACAAATTGAACAGCTAGATTAAGAGTTATCAATTTCTAAAGTTTGAGATGAGAAAATCCTTTGCAGGAAAAATATGTTTTGAAGGGATTTTATTATATTTTGAGTTTTGTGCAAAATAAAGGAGTTTAGGAAGCTAAGACAAGATTCATATAAAGGTTTAAGCTAAATTCTCTATAGCTAGATACCTAATGTATTCCCAGATAGTAAATCACGCCATATGACAGCGTAACCATATACCATAATAGACATCTTTGATTTTTTATGCCTTTGAGTACTTTTGTATTTACTGATCTTCAAGAAATTTAGAACTAAAGGAAGAAATAATGTCATGGACATCTATCTAAAGAAGGGTCTTGAAGGTCTTAGAAAGTTGTAGAGATTCTAAGAGGTTGTTAGAATAGATTCTTCATGTTGTTTAATTTTCAAGCAACATAGGAAGTCATAAGAGAAAGTTCTTAAGATTTCTTCACATCAAAGCAATAAAAAAGCAACTCAAGAAGAATCTTACAATGACTTGGAGATTAATTCTTTTGTAAAAAGTTACTTGGAAGCTTCTTAATTTCTAATATATGTAGGTATCAAGGTTGAGAAGTCCCTCAATCTCAATAGTACATGTCTTACAGTTAATTTTTCATCTTATAGTCTTGTTCATGCTCTTGCAATTTGTTGCTTTATAATAAGACTTATATATTCTATTATCTTATTATTCTATTGTATAATTTTTTTGATCTCATTTGTAACAATATTCTACTATTCAAATCTTCATTTGTCAAAACTAAGGTATTTAGTTCTTATGTAGATTAGACATTTGTGACCCATTTTTGATTGATTAGTTTGGATTTTTTAATTGTTTAAACTTTATTAATCCAAATCTACTACTAAATTAACAAATCATGTTAGGACTAATTTTCTACAAAGTTTTTTTTAAAGTTCATAAAGTTGTTTAACAAAAAAAATAATAAGTCTACAAATAGATAAAATATTAAAGAAAATATTTTTTGTTTTAAGGTTTAATTTTGACATTACTACTTTCTTCAATAAGATATAGAATAGAATCATAAGCAAGCTATTAATATTCTTAAATATGATTTTTAGATGGGTAAAAGAAAGCCATTTTTTTATGATACAAAAAACAATTACCTTCAAAATCTATATATCATATATACTTATTTTGATTATTTGTTATTAATGTAATAATATATAAATATATAAACTATATTTATATTATATATATATAGGTTTTTTTTTAACAATTTTGGTTCTATTTTGATAAAGTATAAATTTTTTTTTATAATAAAGGTTTTTCTAACATTAAAAGATATAAATTCTTAAAATATTTTAAAAAAACAATAATAAGTATATTTTTTCAATTATTATCTGTGTAATATTATTTTTATTGTAAGGAATAAGTATATTGTTAAAAAAAAGATTTTTGGTATTTCTAAAATCTTTTATAAATATATAAGATTTAGACTTTATTATTGTTCTAATTTATAATTTTTATTGAAGTTTTTTTAAAACAAAATTTATAATGAAAGATTGCAATACAAGGCTTGGTTTTTTTAAAAAAATAAACTGATGAATAATTAACAAATAAGTAGTGGGCCTTCCTATCAAAATAAAAACTTCCTTGTGATTTGGAGATAGACACTTATAGGCTAATTTTTGTTTCAGGTGAATTCTAATATTATACATAGGTTTTTTTAAATGTTGTGGGTTTGTTGTTTTGCATTTTAAAATGTACAACTTGTCCTTTAAGTACACTTTTATTGTAATAACATAAAAATTAGAGATTGTTGTTAATTGTTCAACAGAAATTTTATTAGATTTTTTATATGATATGACATTATTCATAATAATTAGAATATTTATTTACCAACATTAGAGTATTAATTATTACAAGTATACTCTATGTTATCAACAAACGGATCATTGTGTGTTATCGTCGATTTCTCAGTAGCAATGACAGTTACAACCGGAACATTCTCACGATTATAGTGTGGAATAAGTTACTGCCCACCCTTCATTGCGATTTATTGCTGCGAATGTTGACAAGTGGGTAGAATATGATTCTTTTGTAATATCACAGAATGTTGACAAGTGAAACACATTTTATGATTATTGACTAACAACCAATTTCTCTTTATTGCACCAGTATTGCTCCGTCTCAACTGTCCAGCATCGAGGTCACTGAGTAATAGATAATGACAGTGAAGTGACAAATATGTTGTGGCAGCTTAAACTGTACTAAGATTTGTGGGTAATGAGATCACTAATGCAGTTTTGCCGATATCAATGGACATCGATTCAATTATAGACAACGGGGGTAAATCGACTACTTAACAGATAACTGGGGGACATCGACTGTTCAACAGTTCCGAAGGTACAGCGGGACATATAAAAATAATAGCTAAGAACACAAAAGATCTCTCTAAAGAGTGGATAGATCTGCTAGCCGAGCGAGACACAACTTCTAAAGACATGAGAGGAGATTACTAGTAGATGTCTCAGAGTGAGAAATCAGTTAATAATCATTTTCCCTCCGTCATCCCCTCACAATATCTCTCCTCCAGTGTCTGATCCCATTAATGTGACACCACCCATTCTCAATATGTAACTATAGTCCAGTTAATCTAAAACAGGAGAGCGCCGATTGAGACAATGGCCGCAGCTCCAGCAGAGCTCAAGCACGCACGGATTAAGAAGGCAGCAGACTGATTTGGCACTGGTGCAGAAGCAGGCTCAGGGGTGCTGGAGGCGGGACTGGGTGATGCAGAGGGCTCTTTTGGGGGCGTGGGTGCCTTGGCGGGGGCAGGTACAGGAGCCACAGTTGATGCAGGAGAGCTAGTGACTGGAGGAGGAACAGGGGCACTTACGGGAGGAGTGACTGGAGCCACAACTGGAGCAGGAACTGTAGCCGGGGGAGGAGTGGGAACAGCTGGAGGAGGAGTAGGAACAGCCAGGGGAGGAGTGGACACAGCCGGAGGAGGGGAAGAGACAGCCGGAGGAGGAGTAGAAGCGGTTGGCGGAGTGACCGGCGGAGTGGCTGGGCTGGTAGGAGGAGTAACGGGGGTGGACGAACCAGTCGCCACTACAACTTTCATCTTCATTCCCATTGCGCAGTGGCCCATGAAACTGCAGATGAAATAGTATTTACCAGGTTTGGTAAGAGGGATGGCATCCTTTCCGGAGGTGTATTTCTTGCCGCTGCTCATTGCGCAGTTCGTGTACTCCGACTCGGTGACGATTTGCACGTCATGCGCCCTTGGGTCGAAAGTGAAGGCTGCGATGAATCCATTAAGACAATCGGATCGTTAGTAACAAGGTTGTCTCATGACTGTATCAGGGGGTAAGTAAAGAAATTCCTAGAGTTAAGCGTGAAATGAAATGAGAGATGCTTACTCAGACTATCCCCCGCAACAAACTTTTGCTGCGAAGACCACGTATCATAGTAACCCACATCTGTGCCGGGTGGGAAGTCCCAATTGAGAGTGCCACCTACATTGTAATCCTTAGCCGTAACTGCTTGTGAGAAAGCGAGCACCGCTACGATGACTAAGACAGCCATAGCACTGCTTCTTCCCTGGGCCATGTGATAGTGTAAGGATCGAGGAGAGAAGACTCCACTGGAACCTTGCGACTGTTACACAGAATTGCCTCAACGTTTAGTATAAACCAATGTTCTAATTCAATGAGATACGATATGTAAAATACATTGCCATACAAAGGACACGTGATCACCATTCACTTGTTTAGACAGGGCACTAACAATGGGCCATCGGTGCTCTCCTGCCTCGATCGCGACCTCTTCCAATATATGCTACGGGTGTGTGCAGATATGAACGTCTTCGTCTTAACCTACTCAGGGCACTAGGTTCCTGATACTCGTGAAGATTGATGTGTTGCGTGAACTTTCCACTCCAAACTAGGTCACGTGATTATTTCGTCACGACTAACAACTGCATGACCTCTCGCCCCAGATCCAGCGACCAGCAACTATGTCGCAGCTGAAAATCGAGACAAACATACAAGGAGTCCCAAATCGCCACCACGTCATAGTGACCGAGCCCATTAACAACAGTGTGTTACGAGAGACACCTATTCACAAACGCTGCACGGGAAGCTCCCGAGGCGTGAAGGAGAAGAAACGCGAGTGCCGAGACCGATTGATTATCAACCCTTCTGACCACCTACGAGTGACACGCATTGATTCACCGAGGCACGCCCTCTTACAGGGAAACCTCGACTGGCTTTGACATGTTTCCCAACTAAAATAGCCTTATAGTACAAGTTCAATCATAGTGCAGGTATTCAGTATCCCGAACACCCCAAGTACTAGTAACTACTGAGTATATCCTGTGCCGTTGGAACCAAGCAACGATACTGGAGACATTGAACAGACGGTAGTCGCAGTACCATGTCGGGGCGTTGCAGGGGGAAAATCAGATCATCGGATAGATCTCACGAAACCACATTTCGAGTTTAGAAATCAAGGATTCAATCCCGATGTGCATACCTCACTAAAGACGCACTCCAACCGCTCTAGAGTATGCCAGAGGAAGACTTGAGATAACTTTTGCGCTACGACTGCCAGTCTTGTGCGCTGCTAGATAATGCAGAGTTGCGCGCAACCGTATCAAGCTGCTTGGGTGAGTGAAGCTAACTGATGAGGATAGCGCTACCGTTGGAGTTCAGAGAGTCTCATCAGATTACCGAGTACTGCGAACACTGCGCGATGATCAATTGCGGGGGGCTGGAGGGGGATATAGGGACGAGCGTCAAACTGGCCGTGCTGCCAGGTTTTCTGGTGGGCCAGGCGTGCCAGCAAACGTCAGGCTGGTGGGTGTGCACCGCATGCAAGACCTGGATGACGCATCGACCGCTTGCAATTACGAATTCCACCTTGGTACTGTATTTGATAATTGGTTAACGTTACCCGCCTAGCTCAGCAGTACCCTTGAACTCTTTCCAACAGCGTCGATGAAGCGTTCTCTAACTTAATGTCTTTTCGACGACCACTCTGTTAATGGCACCTGCAGTAGGGAGGGTGCTCTTGGTGCTTCAAATCATTCGTACGCTGCTCCAGGTTGACATTCCGACTCGACCATTGACTTACCGTCTCCATAAAACTCGACAACATCTTCGCTACCTGAAATTATTGAGAAATTCTTTTTCCTAGGAGTCATCACTACTAGTCCAGTTGAAAGGATGCGACTAACCGATCGTCACCGATAATCTCTATCCAATTGGTCCACTCAGAACTCTCATCCAGTACAAGAAACTCCGACTATAAACATCTTCATCAAGAACTTCGGGTAAGAATAGAAACTGCGATAGAATATTAGCAGCATATTAACAGTTAGTGTGGGTTCTATCTGCATCCAGGTTTCAGGGCTGTGTCAAAGAATAAAAAAGGAAAAAAAAAAAATTATAAAAATAAAAATTCGACTCCACGACAGGACAAGATGGGGAAAATGCCTCTAGTTTCAAAGACACTATGTCACATCTTCGACATCCACATTGGGACTTCCTATTGGAACGGTACCTGGCGATGAAAGCCGTTACTATGCGAAAAATCCTATCAAAGCATCGGAGCAACCGATCTTCACGGATGGCGGCCCCCACATCTACCGGAAAGGCATCTCCCTCGTTGCCGCAAGCTCAGGACCTAATCTCAACAACAAAAATAATTAAAAAACTGCAAAGTAGGTGCTTGTAAACCAATTTCTCTTTCACGTAAACCCTCAACTCTTCATCGAGCCAGTGAAATAAATAAACAGTAATAAACGCACACTTATATCTAAGAACGACTATCCCGCGTCCAATAACGTTTCAAAGAGTTTGATTTTGCATTGAATGAGCAGTTTTGAACAGCCAACTGCACTTTAGCATGTCGAATAGTGTATTTTCCCTTCCATTTCCTCATCCAACTTGCAACATCTGGTTCACAAACATCCCAGATCTTCAGAAGTGACCATGCTGAATTTTGACAACATTTCGAGCATGTCCCATGATATTGATGAACGTGGTGGTTTTGTTTTATACCAAGTATAGGGATGTGATGAAACTCTATATGTGAAGACTGGAAGAATAGGCATTGCTACCTAGTCCGCTATTTCCATGTTTAGATTTCTTGTTTCGCAGCTAGACATGGCAACTTTTAGATTCATTGTTAACTTTGAGAGATTATTTAACCCACATGACATCCGCTCCTCTTTCCCGTTCATTTGGGTTGCCGCAGCAATATAGAAAGAACATAAATGAATGGAGCTTGATGTCTGATGAGCCTCACAAATAAAACCTGTTTGCTGCTATTGTGGTGATTTGGTTCTCTCCACGTAATGGATGCGCTAGAGTTACTTACTGTAATTGAAATAAGAAAAAAAATTACCTGTATAAACGTGTATGTCTGTATATATATATATATATATATATATACATGATGGTGGAATCATTTAAACATTAAAGTTTAAGTGGTTTTAAGGATTGATTAGGGTGGGCTTTGACCACCGTTTAGCTGTAGGTTAATCCATTATTGGAATAACAAGGCATTAACTTCAATTTGAGATGAGCAGTTTGGAATACACCCAACGGAATGTTCCCATCCTATACCATTACTTTTGAAATTGGTTTTAGACTCAAATTTTAATCCTTTTTAGAAACCATCACAAGAATAAAATAAAAATGTTGTATATCTATATAATTTAGTGAACTATGTATAATTTTTACATTTGCAAATAGATATCAATTTTTTTAAAATATTAAGCATATCAGATTATGTTAGAATCAAATATTTGGCTTAGTGTTGTCATTGGTTATTGTGTGTTATATTTCTTCTATAACATCTTATACTAAATAATATTCTTTTAGCACATGAAATACTTGATTAGTCTAACTTCTAAAAATATTTTAATTTATATATTATATCCATGATTTATTAGTATATATAAAGTTTATATTCATGATTATAATTGTATTAATTATAATTTTATATTTAAAATATTACATATCTATGGTTTAAGACATTAATTTATTGTAATTTATTTTTTAAATTTATAATAATGATAATCCATACTTATTCTTTATAATTAGTATGATTTTTAATTTTAATCTTAAAATAAAGAAAAATAAATTATAATTTAATATATAAAAAGTAAAAAATATTTTTGTATAATAATTTAAAATATATTAATATAAATATCTAAACTATAGATTCTTTTTAATTTCTCTTTTAGACTAAAGTGTGATTAATAGAGGAAAATAGTGCTATAATTTTCTTACAATGTTAAAGATATGAATGATAGTAAAACTCTAAAGAAATAATATATTCTTATATGATTTAAAAGAGAAAAGTAGACAAATCAAAAATAGGTAAAAGACAAAAACTAAAATGGCTATTATCAAATATAAAACACTAAAGAGTCTTGAGTTAAGACAAAAATACAAGAAAGGCATTAATAATAGTGAAGAATGCTTCACTCTTGCGTCCATACATATTATGTAACTAAAGAGTTATATGGTAATATTATATGTGTCATCTAATACTTGTCCAACTTGTAAAAGAAATTGTTAACTTATACCACACATAACTAACTTGTTTGTTAAGTATTCAACCTACTAATCACATACAAATACTTGTAATATGTCATGGGTATATATATTTACTTAAATTAAAGGAATCATATTGAAATAAGTAGAAGTAAGTAAATTTGATAATATTTCATGGAATAACTTATTAATAGCTTTATAAAGGCGGATATGATTTTATACATGTTTGTAAGTAATTGATAGGTTAAAACTTAGCCAACAAATTGACAATGTCATATATATTGATGACTTGAGGTATAAATTTGCTATGTGGCGCATATGTAAGAAATTTGTCCTGTAAGTTAGACATGTGTTTTACAAGTTGGATATATGTTGGAGGTACTAAAGAACATTGCTATGTAACTCATAGTTAGACTTTCTTTAATCTTTTCTTTAAGTCAATATCTATTATTTTTGAATGACATAAGAAGGTATTTTGTTTATTATTTTTTATAATTTATGTCTTTGACATAATGTCAAATTCTTAATTAGAATGCTTTTAAGAAGTTTTTTTATAAAATATTATTAAATTTACTTATTTTTATTTTTATGTAATTTGTCATATCATCTTAATTATTAATCTCAATATTAATATTTATGAAATTATCCTCTCTTCTAAAGATGAATTCTAATAGGAGCAATGATCACATATTGAAGAAGTCTCAAATGTAGTGACTTGTATTAATCTCATACTTTGATCTTTGTTCTTCTTAAAGATAGTTGATAGGTCTTCTCAACCATAGATGGTATCTTATAATAGAGCAAAAAGAGCACCCAATGATTAGGTTATTATTGAAGTATTTATAACTTCTTTCAAATAAAATATTTAAAATACCATTAAGCATAATTTCTACCTCTAACAATATTATTAAATATTAAGAGACTTTTCCAAGGTTGTGATACCAAATGTACTATATCTTGCTATTTAGTCAAAAAAGAATATGTTTTTCTTAGAACCTTCATCTCTATTAAGATGAATTTAAAGTTGTAAAAATCTCAATATATTATTTAATAACTCAACAAAAAATAATTTTTAAGTTGAATTTGTTGATTGTTAATTTACCATCATTTTTATGCCACAAATATAAAAAAATTATAAATAATGATAAAAGATATAATATATATATATATATATATATATATATATATATATTAGATATATATTGATTTATAGCAAAGATTTTTTTATCTCATTATTTTGATTTTGATAGATATTGTCAATGAAAATCATAAATCTTCTTTATTGCATTTGTAAGATTCTTAAATGGCTTTCATGCATAATTATTAATATTATATCTATTACAATATATATGGTATTATAAATTGTTTTGGCATCACTTCCAATCTCAGCATTCCTTTTATTTCAAATTCTTGATTATTATCTATTTTTATATGAAACAATGGTATTTATCTTCTTTCCAATATATGTAGTATCATACATAGCTTAAGAAGAGACATATAGAATATAGGATGGATCTTCATATATTTTGATAAGTATAATTTAAGTAAAACTAGATTAATTTATTTACAAATAAAAAATGGTTTTGGTCTATAATAATCCAACTTGTCATACTGATAAATAATCTTATTATTATAATAAAATAATTATACTTTATTACTAATATAAAATTAGAATTATTTCTTATAATAGAAATGTATATTCATCTTTTATCAATCTTGAGTTTTTTTTTTTTTTTTTTAATTGTGCCGTCATTGTTGTATGTGACTTTGATAAATAATTTATCAAATCTTTTGCTGCAAAATTATTAACACTTAAGAAATAAAAAATATTAAAACTTAGATGATAATCATAATTAATATAGAAAGGTGTTTTTTGAATGGAAGAATATATTATGTTGTTAAAGAATTTTTTTTCCAATTACAAAATAGTTATTTAATCTTCTTAATATTAATTAATAATACATTTCAAATATTCTTCTAAAGCTTGATTCATCTATTTTTTTTAATTTATGAGTTTAAAGATAAAGTACCAAAGATATTTTTATGTTTATATGTAGGATCTTGAAAAAATTCTTAGAAACATAAATATGTATTTAATCTGTCTATATGATATAATATTCTTTGATAATTTATAATAATAATAAATACTATTTTTAAAAAATCTAGCTATTTTTATATATGATGGTTTTATATTTAATAAAAAATGAGCCATCT